ATAAACGTTAGTTTTCTCGTTTGAATTATTTTACATTTTTCATTTCAGGGCCTCTTATAGCTGATTATGTGGTATGGGTTTTACTCATTGTTGAAAGTCGTACGTTGGTCTATAGTTGTAAACCTCTACGTCATTTGGCAATCATACCGCATCTTCTTATTTTTATAAAAATAAAACTCAAGCATATATCATGCGATAAAGGAAAGCAAATGACATAAAAACAAAATAAAACAAGAGAGGAAGACAGAATTCATTGTGAATACATAAGCCAATCTATGCAGATTTATGAAAGACGAACACAAAAAAGAATGATATGTGTAAACATAAAGAATAAAAAAAAAGAATAAATTATCTGTGTTGACAAAGTTGTTTGTTTTTATAGTGCTTAAGGTAATAACACAATGTTAACTGCTGTACCCCAATTTTTGACATTTCTACCTATTATGTGTGTTTGTTTTGCTGACACATTGGTGTCAATATAATGGAATTGTATTCAAATGTCATACAAGTGAGAGGTTTAGCTACCTATAAAACCAGGTTTAGTCCCCCATTTTCTACATAAGGAAATGCCTGTACCAAGTCATGAATATGACAGTTGTTTTCCATTCGTTTGATGTGTTTGAGCTTTGATTTGCCATTTGATAAGGGACTTTCCGATTTGAATTTTTCATTGGAGTCAGCAGTTTTGTTTTTTTACTTTTTATATAACATAATCGTATTTACATAAAAACAATTTCGTCGTCTTAATAAAAGAAATCACAGGTTTTAGAATATCATCATTCGCAAATATAAAAAAAATATAAAATTTCAAATTAACTATGACTAAAACTTACAAAAAAAATCCAACAGTAACTATCCATTGATATGTGTTGAAATGTTTTAATTTTCATGAATGAAGTAACGAAAAAGGCATTCATAATTCAATAAAATTTAATTTTAAAACTTCTTTCAGTACGGGAAGACACACCCCTTGTTCTGACAAGTGATTATTAAATTTAATTGATCGTGTTAAAATGCTAGATAGACAATATGAGAGAAGTCGGAAACTTAAGAATATGACAGATAGAAATTCAACGAATGACAGATGAGTTTTAAATGGCTAATTACAAATCAGAAATAGGTCATCATTTTTCCAAAAAAAATTAAACACTACAAACAGAAAATAAGCTATGTGTCTTGTAATTATATGTAACCAAACCTGTCCTATAAAAGTTGTTTGAGCCACAGTCTGTTCTAGCTTGCAGTGTGCCATTTACTGGTACTATTGGATATCGTGTACCTGTTTCAGAAGGGAGATTGTAAAACCATTGTCTGTACATAGTTAACAGTCCAATTATATTCACAAATTGTTTAAGTTCTATCACCAATTTACAATTTGGTTTCACAACATTATAGAATGATGGCGCTATCAGTTTAAAAGCAAAGCCTAATGATATTGCTGTAAATATTTTCATTATGGTCATCCGTAAAACTCTTGTTCTGCCTAAACAGTACAAAATCAATTTTACAAATGCAAAGAATGCATTAAATCAAAGTGTTATTAAAATACTTTTATATATATGAACCGTGAAAAATACTATTTTTTTCCAAATTCTATCGACATTACAGTTTTATCCTAACTCTGAATTTTTATAATTTGATTTATTAAAAAACTAGGTGTGTCGGAACGACACGAATGGTCCCACTCACAAAAAAGCTTAAAACAAAACGACACAAATGACCCAGTTCGCAAAAAAGGTTTAAGCAATTTTAAGGAGTGGAAATGTCAGAATGAATTTCCGTATAACTGTTGTTTTCGTAATAATTTCGACAAAAACAGCGGAGCGGAACAAAAAATATACTCGATCTGTAACTCATCATGGTAGACTCACATACTAAAAGTTAGCTCAATATGTGAAGGCGTGTAAACAGTTCGTATAACTGTTATTTTCACGAAATTTTCACAGTCCAAAAAATCCCGTAATTTTATCAAAATTAGCTGAGCGTAACCAAACGTAAACTCGATCTGTAACTTATCATTTAGATTCACATACTGAAAATCAGCTCAATGTGTGAAGGCGTTTAGAGAAAAAGTCTATATAAATGTTGTTTTCACGAAAGTCCAAAACCAGTAAATTTCAGCAAAAAATCAGCGGAGCGGAACCAAACGTAAATACGATCTGTAACTCATCATAGTAGAATTACATACTAATAATCAGCTTAATATGTAAAGACGTTTAGAAAAAGTCCGTATAACTGTTCGTTGCGGAATGGCGGATTGACGGAATTAATTAATAAATGACGGATAATGGTAAAAAAATATATAGCCCCGACCACTTTGTGGCGGGGTCATAAAAATATGACAAAATACTGCAAGAAGTTTGAAAGTACATTCACGAAGCTGTGATACATTATATCTTGATAAAGGTCCAAAGGCTTTTAAAAAATGCCGCTGTTATGGAATTTGCCTAACCTAACCTCATTTGTCTCGAATTAACTAATTTCTCCAATGTATTCTTTTCTATGTTGCCATTGGCAAACGAAACATCTATTCAATAGGGATCATTCGTAATATTTCTTCCTGTAGACGTCGCTGGTGTTCCATAAGTGGTTGTCGGAAACGTTTTAATCACTTGGACGCTTGAATCGCATTACGTTGCACATGTTTACATTAGTAACCACAATCGACACTCGCTAATTTCACCAAACTAAGCTTCAAAATTGTTGTGTCCCCGGCTGCAATTATTCTGAAGGGGGACCACAGATTCCCAAAAGACCATGAACTTCTTTTGAAATGGAGAGAAGGCATCAAGAGAGTTGATCCACCCATCAAAAATATCTAGGGAAACCCGGCGGAAAATTCGACCAAGTTTGCCATAACCAGCTGATAACCATGTCATGCCAGGAGATTATATAACAACAGGATTAGGTTATTATATATTTATATTTTTCTTATATTTAGTACATTATTAAACCTCTTTGTTTTATTTTTTCTCGATTAAACAGCCCAATAATTTGACAGGTTATTATTTATTAAAATAGGGGGATCACACTTTGTAAGTTTTTTCCTAGTCTTCACATTTTTTCACCCTTTTACCTTTGTTTGCATTGTAAATAAGAAATAATAATTATGTTGTGCACTTAATTATAGCAAGTGAAATATATTTCCCTGACAAAATAATGCATGAAAGGAAGAGAACTATACATGTATTGGGAAATATGACAATCCCTATATTGCATTCTAAAAAAAAACCATGGTACACATGAGCATAATTTTTTTATTTGTTTGTCGCAATAAAGTCTGAATGTTCTAAGGATTTACATTAAACTTATGGCAAAAGCTGTCAGAACAATTTTTTTTAATTCTTCAAAGTTGGAAATCAAGAGTATTTTTGTGAAAACTTCCCCGCATTAAACGCTTGTCCTTTATGAATGATAAGAAAAATTTCTGAACCTGCAGTTTATTAAATAACATGATGCTTTGTGGTTTCCTGTTTTAATATTTCAGAAGCCATCATGGATAACAGACTTTTTACCCAACCATGAAGTGATGGATGGGAACCATCTTTATGTTTGAAATGAATTCATGGTTAAAATCCAAGTGGCTGCAAGTTCGAGGATCAATACTTCTGTCAGAACCAGATGTAAAAAAAAATTTGACAAAGGTGACAACAAATGGCAAATAGTGGAATTATGGAACAGGATTTATTTACTAGCCAAGACAGTTCCTTATATTAACACACAAACTTTTCTGAAAGGGAAATTCCAACTAGATCAGAAGAAAGTAGTTTGTGATAGAAAAGTGTCGTCCAACCGAATTCACATTAAAAGAGTCCTTGTATTGTCTAAAAGTTACACAAGGGTAAAACTTAATGCCCCTCCTCCGCTGTGGCAGGGGAATAAAAAATCTGAAACATGTAATTCAACTTAGTTCCAGAATTATGTATGTTTGCTGTGTTCTTTCTAATTTCATAAAAATACATTGTAAATAAATATGCATAAAAGATGAAATGGATTTACATGCAATTGATTTTATTATTTGTTCTAATGTGGTGCTGTTTCGCCACTGCTTTCCCAGTTAGCACCAAAAAAAATAGAAAAATGTTGAAAAAATATTGTAGAAAAATATCAAAATCATGCAAAAATGTATGGCCTTAAAAATATTTTCAAAACATTTTCATAATACTTTTAAAACATCATTAAAATGTTACTGAATTTTGACGACAATGTTTGTAAAATGTCTTATAAATGATTTGAATGTGTTTGTTAATCAAATATCCCTGAAACATTTTAAAAACATATAAATATTCATTTCTGCAGGATAAAATGTTTTGAAAAAGTTAAAAAATATTTTTTAACAAAATGTTTTAATAATCTTCATATTATCAAAAAATCATTTAAATGTTATATGAAATATAATTATAAAAATGTTTTCTAACATAATCTTTCAAGTCTTTTTATAAAATATTCAGAAACATATAAACAATGTTTAATATCAGAGACAGATTTAGGAGTGGGGTGCCTGGGTCCCCCCTTTATGGCCCTTATGGAGCTACATTTATGGTTAATCCAGATTTTTTTATTACTCTCAAAACTTTGTCTAGTTTGAGGCCTGATGACCCCTTTTTATGCCCCCGCAACTGAAAGTTGCCTTGAGGGGCATATTATTTTACCCCTGTCTGTTCTTCTGTCTGTCTGTCCGTCCGTCCTATTATGGGTATATAGTTATTCAGCACAACTCCACCTACAGTTAGAATCCTAGGAAGTTTTCACTTTGACGTCTGTTTGTACATATATTGAAGATGTGCATGTGGTCAGGGTTTTGATTTTTATTAATATTTGCTCTTTTGTGAGATAGTTGAACTTTGTCATTTTTGGGGTATATTAAGCGGTTAAATGTTATAGTTATTTTAAAATAACACTTTGCATCTGCGTGGGCATCAATTGTGTCTCCCAGACACAATAATATCTCAAAGAAAGTCCTACATTGACTTTGTTTTAATACAGTTACTTCAGAGTGGAGTGGGGGGATCACTTTATCTAGATTCAAAATCCTGGATCCACATTTGAGAAAACAACTGCCGTCATACTGATCTTTACCCCACATCTCCTTTTACATTTGTCTGCATGCTGTTGATGCCGGCTTAATCTACATATATTTTGGCTATTTTTGTCGGGTTGATGTCTCATTGACAAACCGCAATATCCCCGGTCTTAGATATCAATTTTATTGAATAGTCCATTTTTTTGTATTTTGCACTGAACACATATGAAAAAGAAGATGTGGTATGATTGCCAATGAGACAACTCTCCACAAGAGACCAAATGACACAGAAATAATTACAACTATAGGTCACCGTACAGCCTTCAACAATGAGCAAAGCCCATACCGCATAATTTGTTTCACTTACATAGAGGTATTAATTTTTTCAGATTATAAATATCCTCATGCATTTCATTTGGTCCAGCATTGAACAAATTTTTTCTTAGAAGTGTTTTTTTTTATCTTTTGTTTGATCATGTGTAGTATCTGTCATTTTCTGTCTGAACAGCTTTTCGATGGTTTTCTTAGCTGTCTTGGTCAACAATACACAAGATAACAACAACAATAAGAAATGCAAAAATTTTATTTAATTTTGTCATTTCACTGTTCGTTTTCAATTTTTCTTTTGTTCCATTCTTTTTATTTCTCTTGACTTCTGCTGGCTTCTGTAAAGAAAATGTTAACAAATTAGTCCTGTTGTTTAGTGAGTAAACTAGTAGAGATAATTTAAATTTCATCAAATTACACAAGAAAATTTTATTTTAATCCAGTCTGGTTTCATAAAAATTTATATTGAAGGCGACATCTAATCAGTGTGGCTGGATTTGGAAGGAATATTTATAGCTATTAGATATACACGTACATCTGTGGAGTTTCAGGTGTATTATTATCATACGAGTCTATAACGGTAGAGTTCACCAGTACTAAAATAAAACTGTACAGTACCATTTTCCCAACTGAGATTAGGACCTGTAACCTTTACTTGGTCTTACAAAAAATCAACTCTCTTAATGGTAATTGTTTATTTTAACACAAATACATTTTTGTGATATAGATTGAGGCTATAAAAGGATAAATACCTTCACACAATCTGCTCCTCCAGAATGTTTTGAATCTAAGCTTATAAATTTTGGCTCTTCTAATTGATTCTACAAAAGATAAAAAAAAAGTCAAAATATTAAATAAAATACAGTCAAGAAAAAAATCACATTGTACTAGTCAGCTACAAAGGTCACATTATTCAAAAATGAAAGAAAATTCAAACAAGAAAACTAATGGCTTGATTTTAAATTATAAAATAAGACAATAAAAAAACAAATATATATGTATATATATCAGAAATTAACCAACTATAACTACTAAATTAAAGGCTTCTGACTAGGATTGACACATTAACAATTATCTATACTTACAAAAAATGTATCTGGCCTGGCCTGAAGGGCTAGCGATTAATCACAGGCACTTGTCTCAGAAAAAATTTCCTATAGACCTTAATATAACACGTGTTATATTAAGGTATATAGGGAATTTTTTTTTGAGACAAGTGCCTGTGCGATTAATCATGAAAACTGTATAATGAATATATTGTCTTTCATGGTTACAAATATCTACCAGTAGAAAATGTCTGCAATATTTCACTATTTTATATTACTTTACTAACTAATACATTGTTGATGACGCTGAAAACAACATACCTAATATATGCTATGTCTTACTTTTGGACTCTGTCAAGGCAAGACAAAAAGGAAAGAAATCAATGATTCAAGTTCAAATATATTGATTGATTTTTGGAATCTTAATGTCCAGTGACAAATATTTAATGCATGTTCCAGCCAAAGTTTAATTAAACAAGCTAAGGAATGGTTTGAATTTTTTTAAAACATGTAGGTAAAGATTTTTTAAAGTACTATTACATAGATTAAAATGTTAGGATTACAAAGGAGGTTTCTGCTTGCCATGAAATATTTGAAAAACATGATATCAAGTGGATTTAATGGTATAACTAATGAAATTTTGAAAAATTCTTGTATGCTGAATGTTGGGCATGATATGTTTATAAAATTATGAAACACTACTTTTTTCTTAAAAATTAATAAAATTTTCTCTCTAGAAAGAAGTTCTTATAGGAGAGAAAATTTATTGAACCCATATTCAAAGGAAGATGTTTTAATAGCCCTTCAAACAACAGAGGTATAACCCTTTTTACTAGATTAGGAACATTTTTTTCTAGAGTATATAATAGTTTAGAAAACTATTTAGAATCTTATAAGATTATCTGCCAAGAACAGATAGGATTCAAAAAAGGACGTAGAACTATAGGGACCACATTTCTAAGTTTAAAAAATATTTAGTTGGGTTAGTTTTCATAATTATTTTCTAATCAATTTTGCTGAATTTGAAATTATTCCATATTTAAATAATTCCTTGTTTGAACTTGAATTGCAAATAAAACTTCATTATAGATGTACATATCTTTTAAAATTTCCAAAAATGGCCCCATCATGTTATATGTAAAAAGTTTGCAGAGAAGGGCCTTTATATTTTTTTTACAGTCTTTTTTTTTTTTAAGTTGATGAAGCTGAGACATATTAAAAGATTTAAAGCTTAAAAATGTAGAATCATGTCTTGTTTAAAAGTGGTATTGGAGGATTTAATACTTTCCTTGTGTAATTGTCCCATTATCAAAAGTAATAAATTGTTTATATATAACTGGGACTATTGTACTATAGTACTATAAATAGTATTATAGTCCCAGTATATAACAAGTTAAATTTAATTTTCCCTTGCCCAGTCTGCATGGTCTGTATCACATTTCATGGCCAACAGATAATATCTGTATAGAACCCCTATTTTTAATTATTATTATACAAAATCATTTAAATGTATACTAGAAAGTTTAATTATACATTCATGACTATTTATATGTTCAGTGGTTTTTTTTTTTGTTTTTTTTTCTAACTTGGGGTACATGTATTTGTCACTTGGTATTTCACACTAAATATTTCATATAAAATTTCATTTAAATAGATTATTTAGGGGACATTTCTGATTTGATTTTATGCAACTTGGTACCAACAGCAGAATAATTATTTGTTTATTTTCATTTTCTTCTGAGATAAAAATAAATATTATTGTCTATTATAAACAATCTTGCTATATATTTATATTTCAACCAAATTAAACTGTAAAAAATAGTATATATGTGTTCACATCAGGAGAAAATAAAAACAACTGATGACAGAGCTATGACAAAACAAACAAATACTGTTTATATACAATTCAGCGTTTTTCAACACATTATTTGTAAAAATACAACCATAAATGCCTCCAATAAACGTGTTTTTATATGAAATATATAGCCCAAAAATGTAGGTGACGAAATCTTTTTGGCCATGTACTGTAGCGGCGTTTCCGCTTATAATAGAAGAAATCTCAATATTTTTTAAATACATCGTTTACCTTTCTATAAGATCTATATTTCTGTCTCTTGTGACAGCTCCACGTAACGTTAGTTCTGGAACAGACCAGGTGATGTCATCATCGGATGCCATTGTTTACGTTGTAAATACAGATGCAAGCGTTTTACGTGATTGAAGCGTTCAAGTAACCACTTATGGAACCGCAGCGCCGCCACGCGTGAAAAGTCGTGAATGATTCCTATTGTAAGTAAAACTTAAAAGAGTGTACTAACCTTTGAGCTGAATGGCATCTACTGATTTAATTTCACAGCTTTGTCAACCAAATCCAACTAATTTGAAACAACGGAAGTGACACTGCTGATATAAGTTCTCCTCAAATCTTATAGTGAATTAGATATTTACACAAGAGGCAAAAAGAAGTACTACTTTCTATGTAGTGTCAACAAAACATGTGAGACTGATTTATAGAAGCAAACTGTGTATTGTGTACTTGTCTTCAAATAAAATTGAGAATGGAAATGGGAAATGTGTCAAAGAGACAACAACCCGACCAAAGAGCAGAAAACAGCCCAAGGCCACCAATGGGTCTTCAACACAGCAAAGAAAATCCCACACCCGGAGGCGGGCTTCAGCCGGCCCCTAAACCAAAATGTGTACTAGTTCTGTGAAAATGGACGTCACACTAAAACACATGTACGAAACATATAAATGTACTACAATTTCAAAAAAATACAAGACTAACAAAGGCCAGAGGCTCCTGACTTGGGACAGGCGCAAAAATGCGGCGGGGTTAAACATGTTTTGTGAGATCTCAACCCTCCCCGATACCTCTAGCCAATGTAGAATAAACAAACACACAGCAATACACACAGTAAAACTCAGATTTAAAGAGTCCGATGTCAGAATAGGTAACAGAAGAAACTAAGGAAAATGACAATGATACATAAATTAACAAAGGACTACTAGCAGTTACTGACATCCCAGGTCCAAGCCTCAATTAAACTGATTGAAATATTATGTCTTAATCATATGAAAATCAAGTACAATCCCTCCCGTTAGGTATTTAGTATCATACCGTCATAAAACATATGAAAAGAACATAACCCGTATCATGCCAACAACTGATTTTAGAATTAATGTGTTTATTGCCGATGCAAAGACCATATGAGTGAATCAATATTAATTCCAAAATATACCATCTTTAATTACCTAACAACAGTATCGTAACTATATCCCTTCTGAATAAGTCTGTTTAAAGGTTTGGTAAGTTTTTGAGGTGAATGACGATATTTTTGTGCTGTGTATAGAATACTACCATAAAAGATGTGATGTGAAATACCTGAACTTATAAGATGTCTGCATGATGATTTATATTTACGAATGATGTCCTTGTACCGATGATAACATTTAGTAAATGTTTTGACTAGTTTGTGATATCGAAAACCCTGGTGTAATAATTTTTAGTAATACAGAGATTTCTTTCGTTAAAATCAAATGAGATGTTACATACACGAATCGAACAAGTTGAGATAAATAAACACGATAAGATGGTGACAAGGGAACCAAAATGGATAATTAACAATAGGAAATGAAAAATCATCTCTTTTATCGCAAATTTTGATATTAAGCTTTCCGTTAAAGATTTAGTTACCATTAAGTTGTCGCTTGATGTGTACATTTCAGTTCTCTGCAGTCTATGATTATGATAAATAACTCTCAGCATACAATTTAACTTGGATTGGACGGTCTTACGTTTTAACTTGTTGAATAGACTTCCTGAAAATCGTAATTTGTTACATGAAGAAACGCAGAAATACATATACTGTTTTATTCTATTGTTGGGGGACAACGCAAGTTATCATACTCACCGGCATGTACTATATTGTCTACTTAATAGTTATTATAACAATCTTAATATGTAAATAAAATTTATTCAATTAGGTTTGTTGATATATTATATAGTACACAATGATTCACTAGTCAAAGCTTTCGACCAATAAATCGACATATTACAAAGAACTAGGGTTGATAAATGCCAAAGAGCTAGGGCCAACTTGCACTGATCTTTTCACAGTACCACAGCTTGATGCGTTTCCTTCAAGGTTCTATAAACATTGTGGTTTATTTCTAAAGATATGTCAAGACTATCAATGCTTAAAGATAGATACAATATTCAAATATGACATACATGTGGTAAATTTGGAATATTTTAATCCGAAATATGCAAGGAGAGTACAAAACCAAAAACATCCTATATTGAGAACTTATGTTATATATTGCCTTTCAGATACAAATTAATTCGTTTTTGGTAAAATATGTACTATGATGCAATTTTAACAAAAAATATGTAAAATAAAGGCGAAAGATACCAAATGGACATTTAAATTCATTAGTCGAAAATTAACTGACAATACCATGGCTAAAAAAGAAAGACAGACATCAGTACACAAATCACAACATAGAAAACTGAAGACTGAGCAACACGAACCCGACAAAAAACTTGGTGTGTTCTCGGGTGCTCCGAAAGGGTACGCAGATTCTTCTTCACATATGGCACCAGTCGTGTTGCTCATGTTAGTACTAACCCGGTGATAAGTCTAATTCGGTAGGTTACATTCGGGGAAAAGGGGACGAGATTTTTGTACCGATAATTGGAACATATGAATCGTCGTCTGTGAAACAGGTATTCCATAACGGTCAGCCAACTCGTGATGGCGTCCGTAAAATTAAAGAATGGATGTTTTCAACTTCACCTCTTAGAACTCACAAGCCCTGGAATATCGTATCAACTTGGAGATATATACTACGTATTCAGGCGCTGCTGGAATGTTGCTACATAGAAATGAAAAGTTCACAATTGGGGAGCTGAGATCATCTCTTTTGTCGTAAAGTTTTGTTTTCAATTTCTAGGATGAAATTTGAAAAAAGGCAGGACAGGAGTTTTGAGTTAAAAAAATAGGCAGGATGAGCAACTTGGCAAAAAAAAAAAAGGCAGGATGACAATTTATGTAAAAAAAGTCAGGATAAACTAATAAAAAAAAAGGCAGGACCGACTAGAGTGAAAAATAAAAAGGCAGGACAGAGATTACAACTACAAAAAAAGGCAGGACAAAATTTTTCTTCCTAGCCCCCCCCCCCCCCCCCCCCATAAAAATCAAATGGTGGCTCCCTAATGTTCGGGTGTTTGGTAAAACGTTATATATCAATTGAAATAAACAATTAGTCTATTGTTCAGTGGTTGTCGTTTGTTGGTGTGATTCAAAGTTGTTTCTCGTTTCTTATATAGATCATGTATATTACCATCTTTGACAAATATATTTTTCGAGCTGTCAATCAACGAGGAAACAGCTGATTTGAGTTATCTCCCATGTCATTCAACCACCATTTCCGGATTGACAGATGTAAACATTGGGAAATCAAGTGTTCATGTGTTCCTAAGACAGGGATTCTTACACCAATCCTAAAGAAAGAAAAAGACAAAACATTACCATCTAGCTATAGAGGAATAACTGTGACTAAAACCTTTGCAAAAATATTACAAAGTATACTGAAGGATAGAGTTGACTCTGTATTTAATAACATACAAAACTCCTTGCAAAGAGGCTTTACAGAAGGAGTGTCATCACTATGCGCAGCTTTCCTCACATCAGAAGCAATCGAAGAAAGTAAGAAATTAAAGATACTGATGATTTTAATAACTCTTGGTGCAGAAAAAGCATTTGACAAACTAAACCATGAAATACTATTCAACAAGTTGTACCATTATGGAATAAAAGGAAAACTCTGGATACTACTGAGAAACTTGTATAAAGGCATGAGCAATAAGGTTAAATGGGAAGGTCAATGTACAGAAGATGTAATGGTGTTACAAGGAATTCAACAAGGTGCAAAACTATCTACAACGCTATATAAATGCTACAACAACGTCATACTGGATAGCATTTTAAAAAGTGGACTTGGAGCATGTATTAGTGATATACAAGTCCCTGCACCCACATGTGCCGATGACATTGCTGTCCTGGCAAATAGTACTGCAGACGCACAAGGAATATTAGACATAGTACAGCACCATACAAGCAGAGATCTAGTTAAAATCAATCCAACTAAATCTGAAGCTGTTTTATATAATGCAAAAGGCTCAAACATAACAACACTGCAATTCGAAGACGATGACATCAATATAACCAATGAAACCAAACATCTAGGTATCAAAAGAAACGAGCAAAACCGGGCAAATATCTCTGAAAGAATAAGAACCGGCAGGGCAACAATATACAGCCTTCTCGGAGCCGGTTTACATGTCAGAAGGGGATTCTCACTCATGGTCGCATACAAGCTATGGAGAACATATGCAGTACCAAGAAGCATCTACGGACTTGAGGTGATGAACTTACTTGCAAAAGAAAAGGATATGCTAGAACTGGCAGAGAGAAAAATCCTCCGACAAATTCAAGGGCTTCCAAATAATACAGCAAATATGGCTGTCTATACCCTGGTAGGAGCAGAACCTATCGCCTTCACATTAGACAAAAATCTACTTACCTTCTTCATAAATATTGTTCGAAATTCAGGAACCATAGAATGTGAAATTCTGCGTCGACAAGTAGCATTCTCAGACCAAAGAGGAAAAGACTTTATCAACAGAGTGGAAAAAACTCTATCAAAATACAATTTGAAATCTAGTAGTTACTACATAGAAAAACCACTTAAGAAAATCGAATGGAAAAGACTAGTAGGAATAAAGATCAAGGAATACTGGAAAAATGAATGTCATTATGAAAAAATGGAAAAAACATCACTTAAATACATAGAAATACAGAACAATCCATTAAATGAAGCACACAATATATGGAAAAGCGTAAAAACCAATAGTAAAGATGTAAAGGCAGGAGAAATAAAAGCAAGAATAAGTACTCAAACGTACATATTACAAGCCAAAAGAGCTAAGTTCGATCCGAAAGTTAACCCGATATGTACAATCTGTGAACAGGAAAATGAAGATCTAGAACATTTTATTCTACGCTGCAAAGAATTGGAGCAAATAAGATCTAAATATTGCTCAAAAATCGAACAGACAATGGATGAAATTGATACCTCAACATACAAGAAGATCATACAAGAAGGGAATTTACTGCAGCTCATAATGGACTGTACTAGCAAGGACATAAACTGTTACTCAACTGTGTATGAAAACATTGAAACTCTGGCTAGAAATATGTGCTACGAGATGCACATGC